TCTGGCCTGGTGCAAGAAAGATAGCGAAGACTTCCAACTAGGCTCTTGAAATAAGTTGGATCAACATCACCTGCCTTCGTACCTTTTTTGAGCTCCATTCCACTGTCTACAGGAGTGTCTACTGGATTGCAATTATCCGTTCAATGTCTCTTGAGAATTTCCTTGGCATAGCCACTTTGGGAAATAAAAATTCCATCTTTTCTTTGTACCAGTTCAATGCCGAGAAAATGAGCCATCAATCTAATATCTGTCATTTCAAATTCTTGGACCATGCTTCTTTTAAAGTCTTTGAACATGGTTGGATTGTTTTCGGTGAAAATTAGATCATCAACATAAAGACAAGAAAGCAACATGCTTCCATCAGCTTCCTTCTTCAAATATAGTGCGTGCTCATATGGATATTTTTCAAAACCATTGTCATGAAAATACTGATCAATTCTAGTATTCCATGTACGCGGAGCTTGCTTCAATCCATAAAGTGCTTTCTTCAATTTGTACACTTTATCTTCATGCCCATTTTGAACATACCCCGAAGGTTGTTCAATATAGATTTATTCTTCAAGAAAACCATTAAGAAATGCAGATTTCACATCAAGTTGATAAATCTGCCACTAGTGCTGGGTAGCCAAAGAAATTATTAGCCCGATAGTCTCTAACTGGCCAACTAGAGCAAACACCTCTCCATAATCAATTCCAGCTCTCTACTTGTAACCTTTTCCTACTAACCTTGCCTTATAGCGTTGCTCTTCGACTTGTGCATTTCTTTTTGTCTTGTATACCCATTTCACTCCAATGGGTTTGTGCCCCTTCGGTAGACTAGTAAGCTTCCATGTGTCATTTTTCTCAATGGCATGAATTTCTTCATCCATTGCTTTCTTCTATTTATTTTCTTGGATGGCTTCCGAGAAAGTAAGTGGATCACTATCTGCAAGTAAGCAAAACAAATTCAGCTCTACTTCTTCTGTACCTTCATATATCTCCTGCAAATTTCTCATTGGTCTTGGTTGTTTGAAAAAACTATCATCTGATGATAATGATGATGATGATGATGATGATGCGACACTTTTGTGAGAAACTGGCGATCTAGGTGCCGGTATTCTATGTAGAGGAGTTTGTGGCTCATCTTGAACTTCTCTTGTGATTTCAATTGGAGCTTTTGACGTTTCATCTTCAAGAATGAGTTCTGCATCTTTAACAACTTCATCTTGATTCCAGTTCCAAGCTTCTTCTTCTTCAAATATCACATCTCTACTCATGATCACATTTCTGGTAATGGGATTATACAACTTGTATCCCATTGTTCTGTCTCCATATCCGACAAGGATACATTTTTCTCCCTTATCATCGAGCTTGGTTCTTCTTGCTTCTGGAATACCCAAATATTCTGAGATGGTTGACACTTGGCTTATGTAAACTCCAAGCTTCTTCTGGAGTCATAGAGTGAAGGCTCCTGGTTGGGCATCTATTTAGTAGATACGCAACACATGATACGGTTTCAGCCCAAAATTGTTTGGGTAGTCCCTTTTCTTTCAACATGCTCCTTGCTATATCTAAGATTGTGCGATTCTTTCTTTCAGCAACACCATTCAGCTGTGGCGTCTAGGATGGTGTTGTTTGATGCTTGATTTCATGCTTTTTGCAATAATTCTTGAAACATATGATGCATATTCTCCACCTTGATCTGATCGTAATGTCTTGATGTAGTAGCCGCTTTGCTTCTCTACAAAAGCTTTGAATTCTTTGAAGATACTGAACACCTCCGACTTTCTTTTAAGAAAATACGCCCATGTCTTCCGGCTATAATCATCAATGAATGTGAGAAAATATCTATTCTATCCATTTGTCATTGGCTTCAATGGACCACACACATCAGTGTGCACTAGCTCCAGCGGCTTTGTTGCTCTCCACTTCACTTCTTTGGCAAAGCTAGTTCTATGATGCTTGCCAAGAATGCAGCTTTCACATACCTCATTAGTATGAGCAATATGAGGGAGCCCTTTTACCATATTCTTGCTTGACAACAGTTTCAAGCTTCTAAAGTTGTGATGTCCAAACCTCAAATGCCATAGTCAGTCTTTGTCTTTGATGATGGCACTTAAACACTTTGCAGCATCATGTTAGATGTTCAATGCAAACATCTGATTCTTGGACATTCTCACCTGAGCAATCAAATTATCATGATTCACTACTACAAAAATAGTTAAAGATCACACTTTGACAAAAAAAAAAAACAATATCTCACTTTTATTGGAAGTGTGATAAAAAAAATTAGATTGATACTTTAATCACACTTAATTTGATTGAGTGTGATAATATTTATTTTTTATGTCACTTTTCAATTAAGTGTGATTATATATATATTTTTTAATCACACATTCTAATTAAAATGTGATTATTTATATATTTTTTAATCACACCTTTTTAATTAAAGTGTGATTATATATATACTATTACTTTTTAATCACACTTTTTAAGTAAGTGTGATTATATATATATATTTTTTAATCACACATTCTAATTAAAGTGTGATTATTTATATACTTTTTAATCACACCTTTTTAATTAAAGTGTGATGATATATACACTATTACTTTTTAATCACACTTTTTAAGTAAGTGTGATTGTATATATATTTTTTAATCTAATTAAAGTGTGATTATTTATATATTTTTTAATCACACCTTCAAATTAAAGTGTAATTATATCACTACTACAAAAACAGTTAAAGATCACACTTTGATAAATGAAAATATCTCACTTTTATTAGGAGTGTGATAAAAAAAATTATATTGATATTTTAATTATACTTAATTTAATTGAGTGTGATCATATTTATTTTTTATGTCACTTTTTAATTAAGTGTGATTATATATATATATATATATATTTTAACCACACTTTTTAATTAAATGTGATTATATATATATTTTTAATTAAGTTTTGAAAAGAGTTTTGAATTATGTATTTGGCTATGAGTTTTGAAAAGTAATGATTATATTTTGAATTGAGTTTTGAAAAATAGATGTAAAATTATGATTTGAAAGTTCAAAACAAACACCATACTTAAATCAATGGGTGGAACTATGACCACCACCACTACTGCCACTACTACTACTACCATTACCTCTTATCCACCATCGCCACCACTCCACTACCACCACTACCACTACTGCAACTACTACTACCATTACCTCTCCTCCACCACCGCCACTCCATCTCCTCTACCACTACTACAACTTCACCACTAATCTCCTTCGTCGCCACCACCACCACCACCATCATCATCTCTTATCCACCACTTTCACCACTACTGCCACTCCCTCTCCTCTACCACAAAAAATTAGTTCATGATTTTTAATAACAAAAAAAAAAAAGGCCGTAGAAAAATATTTTTCATTGACCACAAAAAATTATCTTTAATTTTAGTGGAAAATATTTTTTATTAAAATATTACCCCTACTTCTACCAAATAGAAAATAATAATATTTTTTTCATTAAAATAAAAATGAAACAAATAAATTTTCAATCTTAGTAACTAAAAAAAAAAGATTTTTTTTTAAAAAATTCATTAAATATCAAAAATATAAAAAAAGATATGAAAATTTAGTATGTTTTTCTTATTCTTGTGTATTTATTGATTTTTTAAAATATTTTTTTAAAAAAATATTTTACTTTTTAATACATTTAAGTAAGGTGCATCTAAAAAAATAAAAAAAAAATTACTTAAAATTTTTAAAATATTCACTAAAAACAAAAAAATACGAAAAGTAAAAAAACTCAATTTTTAAAAAATTAAAACCAACCACAATAAAGATATCATTGTTCAGTTCGCTGATTAAGATTTAAAAATAATAAGAAAATTGAGCCAAACTCTTAAATGTCTTTTGAGAAAATTTTTAGGTTTGGGAAGTAGGTTGGCCTTTTGGCTTTTTGGTTTTTTTGGCTATTTTAGCCTGGGCTAAAAAGCTTGTTTTGGGAAGGGCTTTTTGGCTTTTTAGCTTTTTTGACTTTTTTGTGAGAGAAGAATGTAATGATTATAGGTTGGATGTGATGTTTTGTTTGTTATGGCTAAAATAGCCTATTTTGTTTTTTGTGGCTAAAATAGCCAAAAAAACAAAATGTGCATGATCTCATTGTCATAAATAATAAAAACATAAATATAAATATTTTAGACTTGGATAAACATATTTTTTAATTTATAATTTTAATTTTTTAAAAATATTTTGTCCAAACACATTTGTAATTTATATTTTTTAAAAAAATAAATAAAAATTAATTTATAAATTTTTTATAAACATAAATTAAAAATATAAATGTTATCAAACCGTACCTTAAATTTTCATTTGAGCCAGTTATGCTTGATGTGGCGAAAAAAAAGAGCACAAAATTTGATTCCCGCTCGTTTTTTCCCCTCTCAACCAAAAATTCCCAAATCTCAAATCCCTAATTTTTGAACCAAAAATCCCCATCTCTCTCTCTCTCGCGCGACTATGAGCACGGCAGACGATGGCCTCGAGCGACGGGGTTAAAGAGCCTCACTCTTTTGTTTCTCACTTCGTTGGCTTTCCCTCTGTTGCTCTCATTCCAGTGGCGAAAGAGCTGCTCAAGGACCACCGCTGCCATTAATAGCAGGCTCGAAGCTTTCAGTTTCAAGAACATCGGTCCGCTCAGATTCACATGATTGAAGAGACTCTCCGATTCGCCGGTGTTCCTGGTGCGGTCTTAATTCTTATGTCTTTCTGTCTATCTGAATATATTTTGACGATTTCATCTAATTTCATTTCATTTAAATAAACAAGACATTCTTATATTTTGCAATTGTTTTGTTTTTAAACAATGAACTCAAGGTTATGTGAAGTCAAGATTGAGGGATCAAACATTTCTTAAATAAACAAGACATTCTTATCTGCCCTCTAGGTTTGAACCTACAAACTCAAGATTGAGGGATCAAGTTTTAACCACTGGACCAGTGACCCCTATAAGGCCTGTACCCAATCTACCCCTCCAGAACCCCATCCGATGGGGTGGGGACTAAAGTCCACATATTTGATATTTTATATGGATCTTATTTTAGTTGTTAGCAACTTGTACAATTTTTCTACACCTAGTTTTATGCATGAAAGATGAAGCATTAACAATATTTGCATGTCATATTGATTTGGAGCACTTGGTATCAGGATATGGCTGGTGCCTGAAACAATGGTTATTGCAAGGACAACTGCTGTCAAAGCTGAAAGAAGACACTTAGTTTCTGAGGCTTATAATCCCAAACTTGTGAGTGCATCTTCCATTTTAACAAAACCTAACGTTTAGCTGCATTTGGAAGCCAACTTTCAGTCTGTGTTTGGATCTTTTCTTTTCCCTTCTCACAAATCCCTCGCCAAATCCAAGATCCAAACACAACCTAAGAAAGGATTGGTTTCAGTGACCACTAGAATATAATTGCTAAAAGCTTACTTGGCGATACATTATTTGGCTTTTCCTCATTTGGAATAGCTATTATCAACCATGGTGATTACAAGATCTACTTGATTTTGGAGTTTCACAAAATATTTGTTAGATTTCCGAGCAGAAAATAAATCCTGTTTCTCAACTCTTAATTTTTTCAAGCAAAGCTTGAACTTGGAGCTCATGAGATAGATCAGGTTGGCCTGAAAGATCATTCAGATTGTTCATGGGTATATGAGTCTTCAATCACTACAAAGAGTTATTTTTTCATAATCTCAAGTAGCCTCCACTTGAATCAGTTTAAACCTCCAACTTCTCTAACTTCTATATATTTTTTTTTCAAGAAATTAAAAAATGTAGCATTTATCCAAATACAGTGTGCAAACAAATTTTCTGATGGAAATTATTCTCTCTTCTAGACTTATCATCATCAACTATTTACTCATTTTCTGTTTTGTTGCTTCATTTAATTATCAAGTTCATAATACTGATGTGTTCATACTTCAAACTTTGTGTTTTCCTTGGTTTTCATCAGAAGCTTGTAAGCAATGAAGTTTTAAAGGCTCATCATCCCAAACGGTAAGCAATCCCAATGCTTGTTTGAGTTGGATTCAATTTACAAGTGATGCCCTCATGTATGGCATGGAGTCAACTGAATTGACATCCTATTCCTGATTATGGAATGCAGAACACAAGATGAATTAGCAGCTGTAAAAACAAGGAATATATCTCTACCGAGGGCCTCTCCCAAGTCAATAAACCAAAAGGTTGCAAAGTCTAACAAAAAATACTTCATGGTTATGGGAATTAATACAGCTTTTAGTAGCCAAAAGCGAAGAGATTCCCTACGGGAGACGTGGATGCCCCAAGGTGCATTAGCTGATCTTGTAGCTTTGTTTTTATTTCATGATTGATGTTATTGTATATGATCAATGAGTAATGGGTTCTCTGATAAAAAAAATTGAAGGTGAGAAAAGAAGGAAGCTAGAGGAAGAAAAGGGCATTGTCATACGCTTTGTTATTGGTCACAGGTACGAATTAGTATATGCTTTTCAGAGCTGATATTAGCTAATTGCATACGTATGTGGTTTTTAGTTGTGGTTTTATGTATTCTCTACAACTTATGTGATTGAAAAAATTGAGTTTTTTTTTTTTAAAAAAAAATTGTATCAATTTAATGATGAAGTCTGGACCGTGTTTCCTAGAATAGTAACACCAACCACAATAAGTTTAACATAACATGGAATTCCATGACTCAAACAATGTAACATTTGGCTGGTTTCTGCACTAAATGAAAATGAATCCATTAATTGTTTTTCTGTCACTAGTAACATTTTGCATATCAGTGAGCTGTGGACTAGGAATTTTGCAAGTGAAAATGAATTTTTTAATTGTTTTTCATCACTAGTTCAACATCCGATGGTATTCTTGACAAAGCTATTAAAGCAGAGGACAGAAAGCACAAGGACTTCTTGCGGCTGGTGATGTTGCGTTCTTTTTTCTTTACTTCCTCTATTGCCATTGCCAATAACTGTTTTGAGTAGCATGAATGTTAAAGACTAAATAAAAGCGTGTTTGTTAGGCACGCACTTGACTTTGTTTATGTTCTTTGGGCAGACACATGTAGAGGGCTACAATGAATTGTCAGCGAAAACAAAGATATATTTTGCTACCGCTGTTGCTTTGTGGGATGCAGATTTCTATCTCAAAATTGATGACGACGTTCATGTAAACATAGGTAAAACCATATCCAGTTTTTAATGCATAATACATGTTGATACCTCATTTTTTCTCCCCCTAAAAAAATACCCAACAATATTGGACCGAATTTTTTTTTTTGTAAACTTGAGTTATTCACTAACAAATAAATGTAAACATTTTATCTGATTTAAAATGAAGAAATTTAAAAAAATTTATCTGAGCTTGTATTTGATGTTACTGAGTACATCAACTTTTAATTTACAAGAAAACTTGTTATAGTGCTTAAATAAGATTAAACAAAGGATAGTGCATGTGGAGATAAGCTGTCTCTTATCGTTTTGTTTCCCTCTCTTTGTTAAAAGGCATCCCCAACTCAACGCAACTTGGATGGTTACCATCTCCCTAAGCAAAGTTTTTTTTTTTTCATTTTTATTCCTTAATTTTATTATTGGAAAATAGTATATACTTTCTTTTTTTAATATATTGAGAATGTTGTGTTGACAATACTTCATGCATTTTTAATTTTTGTAGATATGTAGCATTATTATTTAATACAAAACTCTCTTTATTATTTAATCAATAATGCGACATCCTCATAGTTTATTACCTCTAATGATATGATATTGAGGTTAGATCTCACATGATGGAATGTTTAAAATTTGACACTTGTTAAACATATCATTAGAGGTAATTTTTAAGAGTGATAAATTAGGTGTTTGAAATATTTTTCTTATTCAATACAGTACTCTCTTTGTAGATATTGTTTCTACGTAATGTTTTCTAAATTGATTAATGTGAGTGCTCAATGAAGAGATAACAAAGCATTGTGGATTTGTGGGATAGTGCCATATTTAGGTGTGATCAGCATTATTTAAATAAACCAGTGAGGTTCTCTTAGATTATCTCCATTAGAATGACCTAATTTATCAACTGAACATATTGACTTAATAAATTGGGTCGAGCACAATGTCTAATAAAAAATTTAAACAAAATAATCAAAAAGCATGTTGAACAAAATATCCGATAATCTGAACATAGTGTTTAGATAGAGTGTTCAAACAAAAAATTTATCACATTTCTATGTTGGGACTTCACATAATCTTGAGTTCACAAAAATTTATCACATTTCTCTCTCATATGCTTTCTTTGTTTTTAAACACATATTTTCATTCACCTTTTACCTGATTTGTCTATTTCAGGTATAGAAAAGTTTGGGCTTTGGTGGTAATGTGGTGGTGAAAGTGGTTTAGTTATTCAACAACAGCTATGGGTTCTTCTTATTTTGAGGGTAATAGTAAACCTCTTGATTTTTTTTAATTATTTTCTCTCTCTTTGTTTTTTCTCTTTTGTGGTTTATACTTGCTAGTGAATGAACTTTGATGATATCATTAGCTTTTGTTTTCCGGGCACACAGTTGAATCTTTTGAAGGTCTTTGGGTGATGGGTCTTGAAGCTTTAGCCGATCTATTTATTAGTCATATTTCATGAGTATTGTATTGATTTGTGATTTTAATGATTTGGGTTTCATTTGATTTTGTTGGTTTATGAGGTATTGATTTTAGGTTCTAAGATTGCCCTTTTTTTGTGGCATCAATCATTTCATAATTGCTATCCAATTGTTTCTGGATGGGTAAATTTGATCATCAAATCTTTGGCGGGTTATGCAGATTGAAATCTTTTCTCAGCTTATTAGTATTCGTTATCATAATGTGAAATTCTTACTTATTTACTATAAGTAAAGGTTTATATTATTTGATGGATTGGTGGTTTCTAGGGGCGTCATTACATAATTAACCCTTTTAGCTGCCCTTCATGGGAATTGCAAATGCAAAGTCAAATGAAGTATATTTAAGCTTCATGCTTCTTTAATCTGTTACGAAAGTTTTAGATAGTGACTTCATTTGCCCGATTTTATGTGGCTGCCCTATAATAATCCGACTATATTTGACATTGTTGGGATCTCTTTGTCATTGTAAGTCAATCATTAATTTAATTTAATTTATTTAATTTAGTTTGGTGGCTTTTCATCCGAGTTGTTGAATTAATTTGTGTTTTTATTTTTCAGGTTAGAAATTTTTTGGAGAGATGCAAAATATGGTCAAAGAATTCAATGACTTAATTTTTCAAGTTTTTTTTATTTTTATTTTTTAATATATGTAAGCACAGTTTAAAATTTTTTATTTAATTTCTTTGTATATACTTTTGAACATATTTAACTTTCATTTATGAAATATACAGCGCTATTCCATTGAATTTGTGGTTATGATTCAAAGTATAGTATATAGTGTGTATTACATTTTTGAAATGCACGTGCAAAAATAATATTGATTATTCTTTAAATATGTCGAATCTTTTTAGTAATTAATCACACTTAAAAGATGTGATCTAAATGTTATTAATCACATTTAAAAGATGTAATCTAAAGTTTATTATCACAGGTTTTATTAGTTTTTAATCACACTTAAAAGATGTGATCTAAATGTTTTTAATCACACTTAAAAGGTGTGATCTAAATATTTTTAATCACACTTAAAATGTGTGATTAAAAATGACCCTTTTCAATCACACTCCCAAAGATCACACTTCAATAAAACTTAAAAGGTGTGATTAAATAACAAACATCACACAAAAAAAGTGTGATCCTTATCTATTTTTGTAGTAGTGATTGTCTTTGATGGTAAGATGACAATCTTTCATGCTGATGTCATATCCTTTCTCTAGGAGTTGTCCCATACTCAAAATGTTGTTCTTCATGGCAGGAACATAATAAACATTGGAGATGTAATCATGATCTCCATTCTTGAGCTTGATCATAATATTACCTCTTCCTCTCACTGGAGTCTTTGAAGAATCACCAAATGAGACTTGTGCTTGTACAGTCTCGTCAAGCTCAACGAACAACTCTTTTTTACCATACATGTGATTACTAGCTCCCAAATCTAGATACCAAACATTGTTTTGGTTTTCAGTGTCTCCATGGTGGACAAACAAGATTGTAGGTCCAGATTTGTTTGTTTCCTGCTCGAAAAAATTTGCTTGCTCTCCAGCTTCTGTTGTTGCTCTACTTTGGCATTCATTGCTGTAATGCTCGAACTTGTGGCACTGGTAGCACTGAACATTGCTTTTGTCAAATCCTGGTCGATTGTTGTAACCACCTCCTCTATCTCTTGCTCTTCTTCTTGGAGCAAAGTGTGGTTGACTTATTCCTCCTCTTCTTGGACCTCTTCTGCCTCTTCCTCGAAAACCAGAACTTCGGTTATTGTAACCACGACTTCTTTCTCGACTTTTTTGTGATGTCCCCCCTTGCTCGTTTCTGTCATCTCTGAAAGACAACTTTGATTGAAGAGCTTGCTCTAGAGAACTTGAGGGAGTCTTCTTGTTGATCCTTTGTTCATGAACCTCAAGTGTGCCATCAACTCATCGGTGGTCATGGCACTGAGATCCTTGGACTCTTCTATTGCTACAACCACGTGCTTGAACTTGGGACTGAGTGATCGGAAAATCTTCTTTATCACTTGAAGAGATTCCATCCTCTCTCCATATCTTCTCATCTGATTAACAATGGTCAATGTTCTGTTAAAGTACTCAGAAATTGACTCATTCTCATTCATGTGCAACATCTTGAATTCACTATATAACACCTAAAGTCGAACTCTGACCGTCTTCTCAATTCCACAGTGTGAATTGCGAAGAATACTCCATGCCTCTTTAGAGGTTGCTGCTGCTGAAATCTTCTCAAAACTTGACACACCAGTGCCTTGATAGAGTAGATACGATGCCTTTTTATCTCTCATCCTTGAATCTTTTAATGCTGTCTTCTGAGCTTCATTTAAATTTCTTTCATATTCGAGAGTAGCTGACTCGTCATATCCTCAATCCACTAACTCCCACAAATCTTGTGAGGCTAGTAGGACTTGCATTTGAATACTCCAATTTTCATAGTTCTCCTTGCTGAGTTTTGGAAACTGGGGCTGAAAGAAGTTGTTTGTGTTGGCCATTGGTTGACTCTAAAAAATCTGTAAATTTTCAGGATGAAATTTGCAAATCCTGACCATACAGATGTGTCCAGAATATTCCAAATAGTTGAAAAGCACTATTGGATCACCAGAAATAGACTTTGAATGGCTCAGATCAAGCCAAAATAGTTTTGACGCTTCAGATCTACGGCTGCACCTTAGCCGCGTCACACTGGATTAATCATTGGTGTGCTGATGTCAACGGCTTGATTAACGGCGTAGTCAACGCGGCTTGGTTAGCGGCGCAACTCAGACTCGACTCGATCAGCGGCCCAGGTCAACAGAGGCTCAGCTCGGTCTGTGGCTCAAATCAACGGAGGCTCGACTCGGTCAGTGGCTCAGGTCAACAGTGGCTTGGCTCAGCTTGGTCAAAGCTGGTCAGCGGATCAGATGACGGCAGGTCTCTAGTGCGCGCATGTGTGGCGCGTGCTTGTGCGTGGGATCACGCGTCTTCTTCCTCTGGCAGTGCGTGTGACGCATGAGCGCGTGAGAACATCGTTAGTGGCGCGTTTGGCGTGTGTGGAGTCGTACGAGATCCATTTTCGACGCAGTTTTCACGGTTGTGCTCGTCTTGTCGGGAGCTTCAAGCTGATGTGATCAAAAATGGATTTTGACCACTTTGATTTCTGGGCAATTTTTGAAAACACACTCTGTTCTTGAAAATTTTGCAGAATGTTTGCAAATTCAAGCTACCTTCAGCTCTGATACCACTATTGGTAGGAGTGGGGTGCAAACCACTTTTTGTGATTCATAATGAGAGGTTTAAAACTGAACCAAACTGAGATTCAATTCACTCAAAATAATTCTGAAAAACAACAAACAGAGCACTCTTCCTCTTCTTTTCCTCCACACTCATATCACTCTAATACATTAGCTATTTATAGATAAACTAGCAGTGCGAACATATTTATTGCAAATACAGCTATTAGTATGAAAGCATTTAATACGTATACGACTATCAGTGTTGTGGGAGCTGAATAATGGTAAAATCAAAAGATGCGTACCTTAGAAGACTGATATTAATTGGCTGTATCCTACGAGAATGGGAAGCCGAATATAATATATGTGCCGAATAAGTGTAGATCCTTAGAGCCGAATAAGAGAGAGGATAATGATCAAAAAGTAGGCCCTGGCCCCAAGGATCAAAAGGAACAGGTATAAATACAGGGACAATGGATTGAGAAAGGTATGTAAGAATCACTTCACTTAACTTAGTAAATAAGCTTTCTTAAGTGTCTGAACTGACTTGTCCGTCGGAGTGCTAATTCCGGCACCCCCAACCGGAGTGGTTGTATCTTTTCAGGTGACTAGCTGAGGATCACTAGCGTCTTCTAGGATCTGAAGAGTATTTCCAAAACCACTTCTCCACAATTGGCGCCGTCTGTGGGAATACTCAAATACATCCATGGCAGGCGTGACTGAAGATCCTCCGATAGCCACTGACGAGACCACTCAGAGAGATGATCTCACTCCAGTAAATATGCTCAGAAAGGAAACCATCGCTGCAAGACGCGCCTTGAACTTCGACTCACCAACGACTTCAGCGCAAGAGACAATGCAAGCGATCATGGAACAAGCAAAGCAGAATGAACAAAGGCTGGAGAACACGATCGCTGAAAATGAACGTCTCCGTCAAGATTTGGCCCTAGAAGTAGCAAAATCCAGAGAAGCCGTGCACCAAGATCCCGAATGACCTCCGATGGCAGGTGGACAACGACCTCAAGCCCGACCAAAGGATACCGACAGCGACTCCAACTCATTACCCACGGAGCTCAACAAGAAGGGACGATCCGACACTTCTAGCTCCTTCGAAAAAAGTCTACATACAAGGAACAAGCGCAGAAGAAGCAGTTCAAACGAAGCGGACCGGCACGATCCTTTTGTCCGATGGATTGCAAGGGCGGCCTTGCCCAAGAAGTTCAAAGCTCCGTCATTCATTCTTTATGACGGAAAATCAGACCCCACTGATCATATCCTTCACTACAAGCTGGCCATGACATTGCATGCGGACAACGAAGCCCTCATGTGCCGAATATTCCCCAGCAGCCGGGGGCCATTAGCCGTCAGGTGGTATTACAAGATGGAGCCGGCTTCGATCAAAAGCTTCCATCAATTATAGAAATCCTTCAGGGCCAGGTTCATCACCAACGAGGTACAACCGAAACAGGCCGACTCTCTCTGGGCTATGCAGATCTAGTCAGGAGAAACACTCAGAGCGTACTCGGCGCGCTATTGGGAGTGCTTTAATCTCGTTGATGACGCTTGCAACGACTCCATGGCCATCATCGCCTTCAAAATGGGACTACACCCTGACAGCGCTCTTCGCAGTTCCCTGACCAGAAGACCCTCCAAAACAGTCTGGGTGTTGATAAAGAAAGTTAAGGAGTATTGCAAAGTCGAAGACGATGCCTTAAGAATTAAAGCCGGAAAAACGTCCAACAAAACAGCACTCCCTGAAATTGCTCAACTAATAAGTTTTGTGCCACCTCCGAGCATTGAACCATGGCAACGCGCTAAAAGAGACAAAAGGCGGGACTCTCACCGATCAAGCGATCAATGCTCCCACTGGACGAATGAACAACTGCAAGTTGACAGCAGGCGCTCGAGGCGTGCCGACAAGAAGTACACAGAATTGTCCGAACCAATCACCGCGATAATGACCAAGGTCCAACACCATCCATTCTTCAAATGGCCGTCGAAGATGGTAGGACCTCGCGACACGCGAAGAAGGGATAGGCGGTGCGAGTATCACAAAAATCACGGCCACGAGACTTAGAATTGTTACGCATTAAAGGATCACATGGAAGAACCGGTGCAAGACGGCCGACTACAGCAGTACGTGAGAAACGGTAAGCCAATCAAGGCACTAGCCTTGAGGCAGGACTCACCCCCACTTGGCGTGATCCGTATAATCTACAGCCTGCCAACGCCCCCAACCATGCAAGCAATCCAATCGCATCCAATCCTCTAAAAGCAACATATTTCGACCGAATGGCCCAAAGAAGCTCCAACAATCACTTTCAATGACTCCGATCTTTGCGGCGCAACAGCCTCCCATGTCGATCCATTGGTCATCAGATTACGCGTAAATCGGTTCACCATTGAACGCATTCTCATAGACCCAGGGAGTACTTCAGAGGTTATGTATCACAAGACTTTCATCAAACTCGGTTTTAACAAGTTAGATCTGTCTCCGGCTCCTCACCTATTGTTCGGCTTTAACACGAACCCTGAGTACCCGTTAGGAAAGATCACACTACCTGTTCAAGCAGGCTCCAAAACGGTCGAAGTAGAATTCTTGATCGTAAAGCTCCCTTCGCCGTGTAACGTCATCATGGGGCGAACCTGGTTACATATTATGAAGGCCGTTCCAAGCACTTATCATCATCTTGTACGCTTTTCGACAGCCTACGGCATTAAAGAAATCTGTGGCTCCCCGCAATCGGCACAAGCAGAGATTTTATGAAAACCTTATCACTGACCTGACCTGTGGGCTTTGATACTTGTATACATTTCACTTCTGCAATGCAAACCATTTTTCTTCCTCGCTCAAATTCATTTCCCAATTCCCATTGTAGCGCTCGTCATATCGCCGATTTAAAGCCCCCTTTGGTGCATGACACCTTAGGGCCGACTAACACTCTGGGTTCGGAGCGCCCTTCGTGGATATCACGATTGGCCAAACTAAGTCTCCGGATTCGGAGCCCCTTTCGGTGCATGACACTTTAGGGCTGATTAAAGACTCCGGATTCGGAGCCCCCTTTGGTGCATGACACCTTAGGGCCGACTAAGACTCCGGATTCGGAGCGCCCTTCGTGGATATCACGATTGGCCAAACTAAGTCTCCGGATTCGGAGCCCCTCTTGGTGCATGACACTTTAGGGCCGATTAAAGTCTCCGGATTCGGAGCCCCCTTTGGTGCATGACACCTTAGGGCCGACTAAGATTCCAAATTCGGAGCGCCCTTCGTGGATATCACGATTGGCCAAACTAAGTTTCCGGATTCGAAGCCCCTTTTGGTGCATGACACCTGAGGGCCGATTAAAGCCTTCGGATTCGGAACCCCCTTTGGTGCATGACACTTTAGGGCCGATTAAAGTCTCCAGATTTAGAGCCCCCTTTGGTGCATGACACCTTAGGGCCGACTAAGACTCCAGATTCGGAGCGCCCTTCGTGGATATCACGATTGGCCAAACTAAGTCTCCGGATTCGGAGCCCCTTTTGGTGCATGACACCTTAGGGCCGATTAAAGTCTGTGGATTCGGAGCTCCCTTTGGTGCATGACACCTTAGGGCCGACTAAGACTCCGGATTCGGAGCGCCCTTCGTGGATATCACGATTGGCCAAAATAAGTCTCCGGATTCAGAGCCCCTTTTGGTGCATGACACCTTAGGGCCGATTAAAGTCTCCAGATTCGGAGCCCCTTTGGTGCACGACACCTTAGGGCCGACTAAGACTCCAAATTCGGAACGCCCTTCGTGGATATCACGATTGGCCAAACTAAGTCTCCAGATTCAGAGCCACTTTTGGCGCATGACACCTTAAGACCGATTAAAGTCTCCGGATTCAGAGCCCCCTTTGGTGCATGACACCTTAAGGCCGACTAAGACTCCGGATTCGGAGCGTCCTTCGTGGATATCACGATTGGCCAAACTAAGTCTCCAGATTCGGAGCCCCTTTTGGTGCATGACACCTTAGGGCCGATTAAAGTCTTTGAAGTCGCAGCGGCTTTTGGTGCATGACACCTTAGGGCCGACTAAGACTCCGAATTCGGAAGCGCTCATCGTGGATATCACGATTGGCCAAACTAAGTCTCCGGATTCGGAGCCCCCTTTGGTGCATGACACCTTAGGGCCGACTAAGACTCCGGATTCGGAAGCGCCCTTCGTGGATATCATGATTGGCCAAACTAAGTCTCCGAATTCGGAGCCCCTTTTGGTGCAGGACACCTTAGGGCCGATTAAAGTCTTCGGATTCGGAGCCCCCTTTGGTGCATGACACCTTAGGGCCGACTAAGACTCCGGATTCGGAACGCCCTTCATGGATATCATGATTGGCCAAACTAAGTCTCCGGATTTAGAGCCCCCTTTGGTGCATGACACCTTAGGGCCGACTAAGACTTCGGATTCGGAGTGTCCTTCGGTGCATAACACCTTAGGGCCGATTAAAATCTCCGCATCTAAACGCCGGTTACGGAGCCCATCGGCGCATGATGTCTCTTGGCCGATTAAGACTCCGAATTCGTAGTGCCTCTGACGCATAACACCCTAGGGCAGATCATACCTCCGAATTCGGAGCACCCTTCGACAAGAACAAAACGAAGCAAAACATGCCAACATTTCGAAATAAGGTGCTTAGCTAAGCATATAAAAAATCCAGAGTAAGACGCAAATGTTTGAAATAAAACTTTTTATTTGATCAAACAGCTGTTACATAGACGCAATCCGTGTTCGAACATTACAATATCTATCTTTAACTTCTAAAGGCGAAAAGGGGAATTAATCACGTTGATACAGCGGAGGCCCCGAATCAATGCACGTCGTTTGGAAAGCCTCCGCGGCTCAAAATGCCTTGATCCAACCGTGCCCGAATTAGCGTATCTCTGGACCTCCCCCCGATACCATCGACAATGTCAAGGCCAAGATCCAAGACAAGGAAGGTTAAGGGCAACGCTCGTTGTGTCTCCTTTCGGGGCGATCTGCTTTGACGACTTGGAGGCTGACGCGCCTCGCATTTCTTTTTTAACGACCTACCTCCCACACCGGAGAATTCTCCGCTACGATCCATTGCGGCATCAAGCTCGGCCAAAGTTCGAATTTGGCTGATTAACGAAACTCTGTTTTACATCCACAATATTATATAACCCCACGCAACAAATAGCGTTATATTAATGAGGTCACTGGCACGAAGAGTCCATTTCATTTATTTTTAAATGCTGGCAGTGACCCCGAGGCAATTTCATTAACGCCAAAACCCCAAGAGACGAACGTCGATTGACATTCACCACGGCCTAAGTACCCAAACGGCTTTTTGGAACACGCACTGACTGGGACAGGGGCAGTGCTATCAATCCAACCGGCCAAGCATTTAGACCCCGCGCCGGCTGGAATTTGCCACAGCCACTGTACGTACTGGCTTTTGGCCTCTTGAAATTACAGTGGCCACATTCAAGAATAAACGGCCATCACGATTGGGCCGACCCCGCCTATAAACCGGCGCATCACTATACGATCAATATTTGTACATTCATTCAAACATCCATGTAATAAAACGAAACACGTATATGCCGAATACGAGCTACGACAAAATATTTATAATAGAATGTTTTTATTCAATCCAACAATAAATTACATAGTTTTTTTTGCGTTTCAACCTTACAATACGTACTCTTATACGGCGTCACCCTCATCCTCACTTTTCTCGACTTCAAAAGCGAAAAACGGAAATTGTTTACTGTGGTAGAGTGGCGATGCCGAATCAATGCCCGATGCTCGAAGAGCTTCCGCGGCTTGAGATGCCTTGATCCAACCGTGCCTAAATCCACGATTCTCACATCGACAAACCTCTTTGGCAAGCTTCTCCTTGGTCTTTTCGATTCCAACTTTTCGGCCTTCATGAAAACCTTTTTCATAGGCCCTCCCCTTCGCAGACTCCATTGCAAACATACTCGTCGTCTCACGATCGGCAAGCGCGGTACTGATAAGCCGACTGGTAACCCTTTCTTCCACAATTGGGTTTCCCTGCCCAGCGGGTTGTGCCTGAGCCACCCTGGTCTTCCTTAACTCATGCTCAGCCACCTCCGCGCGAGCCTCTAAACTTCGAATACGTTCCTCCTTCTTCTCCAATTCTCGACGGGCAGCGCGCAGTGCATGCCAATTTCATAGGCAGTATAAAGCCCCTTCACTGCCCCGTGAATGCCTTCACGAAATACGTCATAGTCCTGTCGACCTACCATTTACTACTGAACCTCAGAAGGAAAAATTTGTCGAGCAAACTCGACAGCTACATTTGGGTCTTGAACAATCGAGGCCGCCTCTGTCATGGGTCTATTCCCCACAAATACCGCAAAGCTTAATGGGCACGGTTTCGCGTCAGATCCCCTCTCGACTTGGGGTTGCGGAGATCTGCCCTGCGACTGCTTGTCCCGCCTGGGCGACCTGCTTCGACGTCGAGGAGACTGACGCCTGTCTTGATCCCTAGAACTCTTACTTCCTGTGCGCGAAGGTTCACCACATCGATTCATGTCTCCGCCCAGCTCAGCTAGCGTCCTCGCTTCCCCTCTGCTGTTAAAAAAGAGTCTGTTCGACATTCACACGATAAATCTTCCTCCAAGAGCTGGAGTCAGCTGTTTATTAAGCTCATAAAGGTTGTACCTTTGCTCATTTATCCTTTGCAGAGGCAGCGCCCTCGAGGCAATCTCATTAATTGAGAAAACCTCAATCGTCCGGCGCCCGAATGATCATGAACCAACTAGGTAAGGGCAGATTCATCAATCTATTCGGCTCAAGTGCCCCAGATGGCTCACAAATCGATTCTTCAAACTTCTTAAGGTCGTCTCATCCTTCGCCCGAATAATCATGCACCACTTAGGGCAAGGGCAGATTCATCAATCTATTCGGCTCAATTGCCCCAGCCGGCTCACGAATCGATTCTTCAAACTTCTTAAGGTCGTCTCATCTGACGCCCGAATGATCATGAACCGCCTGGGGCAAGGGTAGATTCATCAATCTATTCGGCTCAACTACCCCATTCGGGGCCCGAATAATCATGCACCGCCTGGGGCAAGGGCAGATTCATCAATCTGTTCGGCTCAAGTGCCCCAGACGGCTCATGAATCGATTTAAAATTTTTAAGATTTATCAATATATTCGACTCAAGTGCCCCAGACGACTCACTAATCGATTCTTCAAACTTCTTAAGGTCGTCTCATCCGGTGCCCGAATGATCATGCACCGCCTGGGGCAAGGGCAGATTCATCAATCTATTCGGCTCAACTGCCCCAGCCGGCTCATGAATCGATTCTTCAAACTTCTTAAGGTCATCTCATTCGGCGCCCGAATGATTATGAACCGCCTGGGGCAAGGGCAGATTCATCAATCTATTCGACTCAACTGCCCCAGTCGGCTCAAGAATCGATTCTTCAAACTTCTTCAGGTCGTCTCATCCGGTGCCCGAATAATCATGAACCAACTGGGGCAAGGGCAGATTCATCAATCTATTCGGCTCAACTGCCCCATCCGGCGCCCGAATGATCATGCACCGCCTGGGGTAAGGGCAGATTCATCAATCTGTTCGGCTCAAGTTCCCCAGACGGCTCATGAATCGATTCAAAATTTTTAAGATTTATCAATATATTCGGCTCAAGTGCCCCAGACGGCTCACGAATCGATTCTTCAAAATTCTTAAGGTCGTCTCATCCGGCATCCGAACGATCATGAACCACCTGGCGCCAGGGCAATTTCACCAACATATTCGGCTTGAATGCCCACAATACTCGGCATATGAATAATAAATCAATATTATCATAAGATATTCAATCTCTGAAAGCTCAAACACAGCAATGATTTTATCCAAAGTAGTGAAAGGCAAACATTCTTCATTAACATAACTTCACAAACTATGTACAAGTGCTGGTGAAATAACAAGGAAATTTTCATTAATAAATTGAGCGCAAATAGTAACCAATTTATACATGAAAACTACCCTGAACCAACAAAAGTCTATTGAACAAAAACTTACATCAGAATTAAAAATACTTAATAAAATTGAAATGTCTCCCAGATCAATCCTCAGGGTCAGATTCAAGTGGCTCAACGTCCACTTGCTCGTAGGGAATTGGCAAGGCCAATGTAACTCCAGCGGCAGTAAGGGCTTTGAGCCACCCATGTTTGAACCCCCGATTCTCGAATTTGGGGACTTCATCTACATATTCCGTGTAGGTGGCACTTTTTCCTGCCTCAAATGCCGCAAAAGCCTCAGAATCAGCATTTTCCTTGGCCGCCTTGAGCTCCCCTAACTGAACCTCCACCTCGGCAAGCGCCTCCTTGGCTAATTTGAGCAATTCTTCGCTTGCATTTGCCCTACTCTCGGCGTCAGAGTGGAGCTGTTCAGCTGAACGAGCCCTCTCATTCTCTGCTTCAGCTCGCGCACTCTCCATTGCGGCTCTCATCACTTCAAACTCAGCCCTACTCTTTTCACCATCCGCCTCCATTTGCAAACGATCAATCCTGCCAAGGGCATCATGCAGGCGATGGCCTAGGTCCGTGATCCTACCAACCGTCTGCAAAACAAGTTGGGATCGTCAGATACCTTAATGAAAACAAATTCAAGCGAATTTGAGATGGTCACTTACCAGGAGCACCGACTACACAGATAGGGCTACGGCCATAACATCCGGCACGACGCGAAAGGCTGCGTTGTCAGCCGGCAAGGAAATTGAAGCCGCCTGGCTCAACGCCACGGCTGGATCCTCAATGGCTGAAGCGTCAGAAAAGATCGGCGTATCTCTGACCTTTGGCCGAACAATAAAAGGAGCAACCACGTCCGACTCTTCTAAACGAGGCCGTTTGGAAGCAGGGCTAATCTCCGACCCAGCCTCTCCCTCGGCACTACATTTTTTGCCCCACTCCTCCAGATTCAGCCGTTCGTCAATGACCTATTGTTCAATTTCTTTCCCCGCTTCTACCGCAGCAACCTGAGCCGTCTCTTGAATAACGGGTACGAAAGTTTTAATTAAGGTGGGCTCAGAATGAGCAACCTCGGCCTTCTTTCTAGCAGCCATTCGCTCGGCATTTTTTTTTCGCGCCATCTGCATAAGGCTTTCCCCCAGCCATACCTTCGAAAAAATCACCGGGTAGGTCTCCCAAATTTGCAAAAATATCTCCAGAAGAAAACTCTGCCCGACTCGAAGTGGACGGTGAAGGTTGGTTAAGTCCGGCAGCCTCGAACGCCGAGCGTATCGCCTCGTCGACCTCTTCAGCCTCCTCAGCGACCTCTCTGGTTGGTTCTGCAACTACCTCTACCGCCGGCTCCGCGTCTTCCCCCGAATCCAAATCTTCGAGGCCAATTTGCCTAAGGCTTTTGAAGCTGGGAAAGAGAAGAGCCGAAAGGGGTTGATCGCCAGATGGAATTGGAATGCTATCGGCGGCCGAGAATGTAGTGTAAGTAGGTTCGTATCAAAGGAGTATATGAGCAGCTCTCCCTTGCTTTTGTACATTTGGACGGCCGAAGTATCTGAGTGTAGACTTAATTTCCTCAAGGACTGCGTCGTCGGTTGAGGGAAGAATCTTCTTCAATCTGTTCCCTGCAAAGAACAAGGGGTGATTAAAGGAAAAAAGTCGAATAAAAGGCAAATCAGCAAACACGAGGCGTTACATGGCAACCTGGATCACCCTTCCGTCTGGGTATAGGGTCTAGGCGGTCTTCGCCTTCACCGAACTCCCAATTACCTCGGACATTGACCATTAGGTCGTCAACTCTCTTACCAAAACTGGCAAGCATGGTTATCAAGTGATGGTCAGTGTCCTTGGCCTTGAGAAAGTATCGCCCCAGCCGACTGGAAGATTTGGCCAAAGCGTAGCAGTGCCGAATCGCCGGAATGCCAAGGTTGATCCTAAGGCGTCGGTTCAACTCTATCACCCCCATGATAATTCGAAAGAAATTTACGTTGGGTTGAGAAGGAATCAGACTCCAATAGCGAAGGATGACCCTAAGCAATGGGTGTAGGGGTAAACGGATTCCGCCTTCCGCTATGGATAAGAGAGGGAAGACGATCGTATTTTGATCCTCCCTCTCCATATCAAGAGTACTGTCCGTTACAAGAGATAAGTGGACATCGTCGGGAATGGAAAAGTGTCACCGGAATCCGGAAATACGACCCTCAGAAAGGAGGTCTTTCAAGTGTTTAGCCATTTTCGCGAGGATTTAAGGTTCCGCTGAAATCAAAATGAGAAACAGAAAATAGGATTGCAAAGAAGAGAGAAGAAGACTTACGAGGAGTAAACAGGGCAAGGATAGACGGAGAAGAGTTGCAGAAAATACGAGTCAGAGAAGGGATACCTGCTGGCGGTCCAAGAGTCTCGAATACTCGACGAAATGTGCACTCCAAAGGACTGAAATTTCAAATCACAATAAATGCGAGATGCAAGAGTGAGGCGGGAAAGTGTAATGATGACCGAAAATGTGTGCACATTCTGACATCTGTATCGGGGTACGCGAAGCCGCCTGACCTATTCTGACGTTTCCAATTCAACCAAACACGCCGATTAACTAGCGTCAATGGGGAGTTCGAGGGGCAATAGTGGGAGCTGAATAATGGCAAAATCAGAAGGTATGTACCTTAGAAGACTGATATTAATTGGTTGTATCCTACGAGAATGGGAAGCCAGATATAATATATGTGCCGAATAAGTGTAGATCCTTAGAGCCGAATAAGAGAGAGGATAATGATCAAAAAGTAGGCCCTGGCCCCGAGGATCAAAAGGGACAGGTATAAATACAGGGACAATGGATTGAGAAAGGTATGTAAGAATCACTTCACTTAACTTAGTAAACAAGCTTTCTTGAGTGTCTAAACTGACTTGTCCGTCGGAGTGCTAATTCTGGCACCCCCGACCGGAGTGTTTGTATCTTTTTAGGTGACTAGCTGAGGATCACTAGCGTCTCCCAGGATCTGAAGAGTATTTCCAAAACCACTTCTCCACAAGTGTGAATGCATTGAATGCAACTACGGCTAGCAACCAACCATCTTGATATCAGCCTCTATTTTTGACAAATAATCAAGATTACTTCACAACAATATCCCTAACCACAATAAGGTAAAATAAAATTTTCCCTCTCTTATTTGTAATATGTATAATTGCTACTTATGTATTGTGTTTGAATCATGGATTTGAATATGAATTTAAAAAAGAAAAGAAAAAAGTATGTGAAAAGTACGTGAAGTGTACTTATATTTCATTTACATGTCACTAATTTTTTTTTTCCTTTCTTATTTTAAATTCTTATTAAAATCCATGAACCAAAGGTTAACTTATATTTATACCTATTCTCTGGAAAGTCTCTACTCTACTGCTTTTCTCACACCTATTTACTGTTATTTCTCTCAATCTTGCACAACACTATATTACACACTGCGATCTTTTGTTGCACCATACAAGAGTGTACTCATCACTGTTTTCTTACTTATACAAACCACACCACCATTTCATCCCCACTATCTCTATTGGTTGATTTTTCTGGAATTAATGAATTTTATTGGATGGTTTGACTGTTGTGGAGTTTGGTGGTTTTGTAACGCCCCAACTTTCGGGCCGTTAAATACGCACAATAATACAACACAAGTAGGATAGATAACCAGAACATCTTAATATACATATATAACCAGAGTTAATATCACAGATAATTCGTTTATATTCCATTACAGGATTATCAAAACATTGCCAAACCAAAAATCAAAAGGAAAAAAAGACAACTAGTCTAAGTCTTCAAATGAACCACAGCTCCAACAGTTCATCTTATTTGCCTTCAAAATAACATTCACCATTGTAAACTACTTCATCACCTGGCATGACACGCCATGAGCTTGGAATGCCCAGTAAAAACACACACAACCCCATATCTTCTATCAACCAATCAACCTTACACAGAATAAATTGGGTAACATAACTAACAATATTACAACAAGGTTCTATGAATTAGTAGTTAGAGTAGATGACTAGAATCCCCCAAAGAGATCCTTCTACCCAACCACAAGGATTGAACCCTGGACTATTCAGAACTCCCCCTTTTGCTGCTTTGCAGACCTTACCATCTATGCCCACCTCCCGGTTATTTACAGGTCAATGACATTGATGGACCTCAAAAGGGACGGCCAAACAAGTGGGCTCGCTTACACCCAAATCGTGCCTAGGGCTCGCTTACACCTTGCACATACCATACCAAATCGTGCCTAGGGTTCGCTTACACCCTGCATATACCATACCAAAGGGCTCACTTACACCCCGAAACCACCGCATAGAGTCTGAATACATCCGTGTCAACCTAGGGGCTCGCTTAGACTGCTTGCGCAAGACTTAACTCATTTGGTTTTAATCCCATCATAATTCATGCCATTCATATGTATAAATTATTCCAACACTAATGTGAACGTCACCCATTGCCAACCCCTTATCATTTCCCGTTTATTGGATCTTTGGCCAAGCAAGTTAGTCACATTCAGTAATTCGGTAATACAAAAGAGCATGAGACAAACATAAGAGAGGAAATATAGCCCATGATAAGCATACATAAGTATGGTAAGGCAAGCAAATAACATTAGGCATGCTTTGAAATACTTAGAGACAAATAACATAATAGAACACAATTTCCAGCACTATTCGATTCTGCAGGGCTAACAAGAATGCTTTAGTAAAAATACTTCTAGGTCAAATTAAGGGCTGAAATTGCACAGAAACAATACTCAATCTGTCTAGTTTCAGTTCCAATTTTCAGGAGTTGCACAGTACCTCCAAAAATTCATCTACAAACTATATTCGAAAACCTGTCCAGATTTGTCACCCTTTGGGAAAACTAGCTTTTCTCGCAATCTACCCAATGATTTTCACCCAAATAAATTCCATTGGAAAGAGGACTCAGAATTGTAAGTTTTGAAAGAAGAACCAACATGAGATGATTTTTCTGGAATTTTATAAAATTGAAAGAAGTGGACTGTTTTCCAGAGACTCAGGACCAGATTTCTAAATAAAATATCCAAGCCCTAAAAACACATAATTAGGGGCTAGTAAAATTATCACAAGCTCTAAACACACCAAATAGCTTACACTAAATTCAGATTTGAAAAATAAATCGGTTTGATATTTCTTTTAAATTAGAGAAGTTGCAGCAGTGTATAATTTGGAAAATTTGTAAGGTAAAGTCACTAAATCAAACCCACACTATCATACACATCAAAAACCCTATATAGCATTAATATGCAACACAAGAGGGTATCTAGACAATAGGATGAGATGGGTGAAAGAATTGGAGAAGACATGGAAGGGTGTGTTCTTACCTTGACCCTAGAAGGCACCATTTTCTTCCTTTTCTTTTCTTCTTCTTCTCTACTTCCCTCTAATCACACTCTCCTTCTCTCACCCTCTCCTTGGCTGTTGGTGTGTGTGTGTGTGTGCGGAATTAAAACAAGGCTCTCAATTTATAGGAAATAAGCTTGGT